TCTAAAGAAGAAAAAAAAATCAAGGGTGTTCCTTCTTCCTTTGGATGTTTTCGATATATCTGACAGTGAATGATAAGAGATAATAATAATAACTATAATAATAAATCTGTTAGTTTTTCCCATTAAAAAAGTACAATGGAGCACTTTTTTCTTCTGCACTTATATTTCAAGCTTATCTGGCCATTACAAGAGTCAGATACAAACACAGCTCAGCAATTTGTGATGGGAGGGAGGGAAGCAGGACAATTTTAAACCACGGAGCTGAGAAAATTTAACATATCTGGTGCACGGTAAAGCTCATCACAAGCTAAGCAATCCAATTACTCCTTTAATTTCATGGCAGGCTTTCAACTTCCACTTACAAACTCCAGAGATCCTCTCCTATAGGACTCAAAATTTTAGACTGGAGAATTTCATCATCAGTAGCAATGTGACAACTTGTTAGAGTCCATTTCAAAATGGTAGTTACCATAAATATTACTTATAAGTATTTTTATAAAGAAACATTTGTGAAAGACAAGGGTAGAGCTCTCTAAGTTTACTTCAGGCAGGTAAGAAAACTGGAACTGAATTACAACACTGAAAAGCACAAACTATAGATACAAACTATAGATAGTAATATTTGCGTTTTCCTAACAGCATTGAGATTTTATGTCACCAATAAAAAATTATCCTGATTTTATTAGACTATTTTTCAAAAGGGAAGCCAGGAAAAAATTCCCACCTACATTTCTCTTTTTTTCCTCTTTCTCCAAAATTGAGATTATACCAAAAAAAAGAAATATGAAAATAACCATTTGATTCCTTTCACAACTGACCAGCACACACCGATGCAAATAGCATTAAAGAATCTATGATTTCAATATATACTTCATATAGTCCTGAGGACTTTTTTTATTGCAATATGTTTAGGACTTAAACTATTAAATTGCTGTTTTGAAAAACACTATCACGCCTATTTTTACATGGAATGAGGAAATCCCTGATAACTGAAAGCAAGTTCTGGAACGGCACAATGGAGCATCCTATCACGCCACTACCCTTTACTAACACTGTTCTACAGGGAGGGAAGGAAAGACATTCAAAAGCAAAGAAAAATTTCTAAACATAGTGACATACAAAAAGGTATCTGAGTACTTTGAAACAGGCTTGTAAATAACCTTTCTTTTTTAAAAATGGGCTGTTACTGTAAATGGGCACACACAACACACAAGCATGCATATTGCACATATATTTGCATGTGCAAATATATTTGGCTGCCTACCCTTCATACGCGCACTCAGAGCTAAACACGTGTAGTGCTCTTCCAATAGAAAATATCCACAGCAACAGGGAAAGCACATGAAAGATGCAAACTCCAATTCCACCTCCATTTCCTAAAACCACAAAAAACAAAACCTCAGCCCAAAGAAGTAGCATCATGTAGCACAATAGGGTGGAGCTCAGGTCAAACACAAGGTTAAAAGTTTTTTATTCTCCTGAATATACCTTTTAACCTCACAATTTTTCCTTGTTTACACCGAGGTACATAAAGATTATTCACTTTCCTGCCCATAAGGAGACAAGGTGGGAAGTGAGGCTGCTGAACAAACAGAAGTGCCCATTACTGATGCTTTGTAGCATAAGTGTGTCTGCTATGGGGGTATTTATGAATTAGGCTAGAAATTATCATGAAACTATGTGTGCACAGAACTGCCATCTTATGTTCCTTTCTTAGCCAAATATTGTCAAATTAGCAACAACCACACTTCCCACCAAGAGTCATATACTTAAATATTTTTAAATTAAAGGCTATTTTGGGGTTTATGTGAGCCAAAAACAGGGSGACTGAAGTTGATTTTCTTCAAGGAGGAAATAAATTAAATGCCCATACATTCATTGCCTCTGCCAAAACTGGATCAGTGGATTCTCATTTGAATTTATCCAGTCTGACTTTTAAATGAAGCAGCTTGAAAAGTTACCCAAACAACTTAAGGACAAAGCTTCCCTCTTCAAAAGATTAAAAGCAACTGAGTGCTTATACGAGGAATACAAATACCATCTCAGACTTGCAAACTTCCTGTGAAAACAACTGATGACTATATTGGCTAAACTCCACAAGCATAACAGGGTTGCAGGCTTAAGTCTGCAGAGAAAAGGGTTTATTTACGAAAATAGAACATAATGCTGTTTAGAGGATGGCTAGGAAGAATAGAAGAACTGTTTGACAATACATTAAATAATTTATTGCAGCAGTCATTTTTTAAATCACAACATTAAATAACTCTCTGGCAACCAAATGTATTAGTACAATTGAAAGTAGGATAGACTGGATGGTCCATTGGTCTCTTTTAGTACAATAACTTGTGTTCTAGGATATTTGCCTTAATACATAGAGGCCCCAAAAAGCTGTCACTTGAAGAGTCTGGAATTAAACAAAGACACAAAGCAGTGAAATTCAGCCCATGTTAACCTGCCACTCCATGGGACAGCTGCACAGTTCAGGGCCACTAGCTCAGTGTTTTGGCTGAAGTGGTAATAGGGCTCCCTCATGTACCTACCATGCATGAGGACCCATAGTAACACAGGTTATTTATTAGTATTCCAATGTTATAATATGCGAGTATTCTGGCCTAATTACATCTTTTCTAAAATTGGTTTTATGATACATATATGGGTGCATATATGTTCTCCTACACAGGTATTGCTTTGTCCATCAAGTTRCACAAAGGGAATAAATTAATTTGAAAAATAAATACAATCTTAGACACTCACCTCATCAAAATAGTAAATAACTTAAACACATGCTCAGTTTCTTTTAGCAATGCCAGAGATATCACTTTTCCTTTTTTTTTCCCCCCCAATTATCTTTGATGCAAGGAAAATAGAGAATTTCAAACATATTCAAAAATCCAACTCTTGTGTGACTGACTGATACATAACAAGGTCATATCCCTTCAAAAAGTTGTAACTGACTGAGGAGTTTTAACTGACAGATAATTTATATACATTTATTTCTATTTAGAATATTCMATAAAGACAAGGTATGTACCAGATATTTATTTCTATGCTTTCATCCCAAATGGGCGAGGTTTGCTTCTTCTTTTTATTTCTACTCTTTAATGAAGTTTTAGAGCAACAAACAATCCAGGGATTGTAAATAATAGAACACCAATARAAATGATGATGAAATACTTCTAGGACTCCGTCATTTATTCGGAGAAGAAGTCCTAAGGTGTGGATACAGTCTATTAAACATGACTAGTTTAACAAACTTTCATAATGCCTAAAATCTATCCATAATGTGAAGAATTTTTTAAAAAAGGGAGGTTTAAAAAGAGATAAACTATGACCAAGTTTGATCCAGCAACAATGGTAGTTAAATTTACTAATCTGAACCCAATTAAGAGGAACAACACATAGCTAGTAAGAATACAGCAATAGAAACATTTGGTTGAACTTCCCTCTACCCCACAAAGATTTCCTACTAAATGTAGGAAAAATACCCCATTCTCATTCCCTAACACTTGCATATTTTATTTTTTAAGCAGTAATCTTCAATAYATTTGCTACAACTGAATAATAAAAAAGAGTCCTCACTGTATAATGAAAGCTTACATTTCAAGAACTTGTAAGCATGTAAGCATGTAAGAAGCCTTAACATGCTGCATACATCAAAGAGGTGATACTATAGCTCCAGCATCACAACAATAGAAGTCAAAAAATATAATCTGAAAACAACAGCCTACTAAAGCAATAACTGGTTAAAAGTAATCTTCAGGCATGCGCACAACTTGCTAACCAATATCTTAACTAATTGTAAGCCCTCTATTCTCACCCCAGTGAACGATTGCTCAGATATGTGATCTACACTGCAGTCTCAGCAGTTTTTATTGCATTACTCACCAAAGCTCAAAGTTTGTATTTCTTTCCTTAAAACATGTACAGAGAAATCCAAATGAAGCATTTGAAATTATCAACCTTACTTACAAGATCATGATTTTTTCCAGTGTTACCTTTCTCAGTTCTAGAAACAGAGTGGATGCAAAAATTTAAGAAAATACAAATTATGAGCAATACGATTTCACCAAGAACAGAAGAATCCAAGGGGAAAAAAAGTAACAGGATCTAGAATGCCTGCCCAAAATAGCTTCACCCACCCCCAAAAAACACACATACACACAGGGATAATTACTGCTTACTGATTTGGGGGGAGGAGCTTACGTCCAGTAGTCACCCAAAATCATATAAATACCCAGGGGTGACACTTGAAATCATCAGCTTCTGCTCACTCACCTGTGGCAGAAGAACTCCTCAGCAGAGGAGGATTCACTGCTCTTCTGCTCTGCGTTGGACCTCCACAACAGCCTGGTATGCCATAAATTCATTTCATTTTATTTGGCTTTGCAGCTAACTGCTCCAGGGTAGATGGTTTCGGGAGAGAGGGTTGATACTCATGTGCTAGTCACAGCATCCTTAATGCCACCGGGGACCACAGGTAAAATCCTGGGTTCAAGTATAGCAATGTGAGATTCTTGCCATTGATGCTGAGGGAGACTGGACTTCATGCCGCATTTGCTATCGCATTAGACACAGGCAATAAGGTCATGGTAGAGTGTCTATGCATTTCTGTAGAAAACTTTCTTCATTTCAGGAGTTTTGATATGGGATGACCTTGGTTTCAGGGGGCTAGTATAACCAGCAAAATGATTTCTGAAAACAGTGGTTTTAATTTGCAACTGTTTAGCATTATTTCTCTTTCCAAGAGGAAGTAATATCTGGAAGAGTAACAAAAAGATTCTTGCCTCTTACGTATGTATAGATGATCCTGAGCATCCAAAATCCTCAGTTAGCAAAACTGATTCCTTCTTTTCTTGGGAGTGTTTTTCACAGTTAGGCAAAAGCCAGAGGAATTAATTACAAAATAATACGAAGTTTTTAATAGCTAAGAAAACCCATTTATTAATTTACAGAAAACTGATCAACTTTTCTTTAAAACAACCTTTTTCTTCCTCTTTCTAACACAGATCGGATTTTGGAACATGCATTTACAAATATCCTTACTGCTGCTGCTCTGTCTGAACAATGTCCATGGTAGTGATGGGTATTTTTCTGAGCAATACCAGAAACAATCCAGCATTAAGGGCCCTCAGTTCTTACCATTCAATGTAAAAAGTCAAGGTAAGTTTCCTGTTTTTTTTTTTTTTGTAATAAACTAATCAGGTCTCTTTAGTGTATAAATATATGAACAAAAGCTTTCTGTTTATATTGGTATTCAATTTTCATTGATAGTTTAAAGGAATATTATCATTTCACTCTTGTGCCTCCTTTGACAAAGATGCACACTTGTCAGAGACTATGGACAATAATTGCTACAGGGATATAGAACAGGAACAAAACCATAGCCACAGATCTAGTATTGAGTATTGTGAATAATCAAACAGTATTAAGTGCATAATTATGTATAACATGCTAATAATCTTCGGGCCTCTTGACTCAATCCTGGTGTTTTCAAATAACAAAATATCTATCTACAATATTTAGAAGAAAACTACTCAAAACAGGTGGTTGGTGAGAGTTTGAATATAATTCCAGTGCATATGGATAAATGCAGACTTGTTTAAACTCCCAAAAGTCAAAATGATTTCACCTACATTCTTAAAAATATGAGAGAAACTTCTACAGCTCTTCATACAAGTGACTTCAGTTTATACTCTTAGTATTAATCTCTAATAGTAATATAACAATTCTATCCCTGCTAGGAAAACTTTACTTGATTTTAAAATCAATCTTATGACAGACTGTATAGATAAAATACAATTGAACCTGTCACAGGCAGAATGAAGATAATGGAAAGTAAATTTATCCCCATTGCCTTTACAAGTCATATGCGAGGCTACTCTTAACTGTATACTGTAAAAAAGTTCATGAGCTCAGTTTTATTATTAATATTTAATTCTCACTCATATCAAAGCCTTTTTAAAACTTGAAAATCAAAATTTTTAACTCCCTAGGTGCTGGTTTTATTTGATGAATTGTACTCCTAAGAGTTCATCAGTAGTCTCTATTCAGTTATTTTCACTAAAATTAAGAGTACTGATCTTTCCCTATTAACATCCCCATCTTCTCCCAAGAATGGTATTATCTTCTGGAGTTTGTAATTTTATTCAGAGGAGTTTTGACTTTTATTTAATCTCACATATTTAGAGTGAGGAAAACTGAATGAAGAACTCAGAAATAGGATTTCCAAATCCTGTTTTTTGAGCTCTTCTTTATTTATGAGGAAAAGAATGTTTTAGACTACGTCTGCATTACAAAATAGAGCAGTATAGTGGAAAAAGACATAGTTGCTGCTCAGGGCATAGCATCCACACCATATGCATTTAGGAGGTTCAATTCAGATGAGCTGCAGACTGATCCTTTGGAATGAATGCTCCTGAGTAGCACAAGGGAAACCCAAAGAGAAGTCCTAACGCCACCCCAAAGGTCTCAGCTCACATATTGCAAGAATGATCTTGCAGTGGAGACTAAGGCACAGAAAAGAGAATGATTGGGAAATTTGCTCAAAAAAACCCAAAACACTATTATAACTTTATTCCTTGCCTGTTTACTTAGTTCCTTGCCTGTTTACTTAGTTCTCCTCTACAAATTTTTCTCAACTTTTTTTTTTTTGAAGTTCAAAAGAAGACAGAAAAAGAGAGAAGGGGGAAAACAGNAAAAAAAAAAAAAGGATGAGGAAGGTAGCCAAGAAATAGGATGTAAGGAGAAGAGAAATGAGTTATCCTGAACCAAGTTTTCACTTTAAATATTAAGTAACAGTCTAATATACGTGTAACTTCATATTTAGAAAGGTTATACTAACCTGAGAAAAATCTAAGATGTTGTGCATTTAAGGAAAGGAATAAACTATACACTAGACTGCCAAAGAAATAACCTACATATATACAGAATTTGGAGTCCAATCCTGAGCAACTTGCTTATTAAATCCTCAGTTTGGGAACAAGCCTCAAAATGGAGGCCTAGAATCCATTCTTACTCTTCTTGCTGGAAAAAAAAAAAACAACCTATAGGGGAATTTTAGAAGAGACTGAAGAGAGCAAAGTGTGCTAGAGATTATTTTCTATCCTGGGATGTTCACAGAAGAATAGACAGCAAACTACASAACCAAGTTCATCACTCCTAACTGTAAAGGCTTCTATTGAGTTTTTACATATGCAAGTAGCTCCAGCAGCATACTGCAAACTTTCCATCATTGGTATCTTTTCCTATCTGTTCACAAGCCTATTGAGTGCACATGACTTCAGATGAATGACAAATCTACCACTTTGTTTTATGAAACAAAGCAAGCTAAACTGAAGGATTAATTTACAGACTTTTAAGTATTTTCATTTTAACTGTTCTTCACTCTGCTATTATTTGCTACTCAAAATAATGTAGCATAAATGTAGAACTATTATTTAGTATTTTTAATTTCTATTGTTTTATATTTWAAAAAAATAGACTCCAAAGACCAGACTCTTCACTTAACATGTAAACTCTGTTGAAGAGATCCTTGTATAGGCACCCACCAGACCAATAAAGCCAAATTATATTTTTCCTTAATTTTACTTAGTAAACAACTAATGTTCCAATGTTGTGCTCCAATGTTGTGAGCACAGAAAGTGCTTCTGCTGACAGCTATATCTATATTTAATAGATATTAAATATATCTTTACTTAATTTGATTAAATTGTTTAACAATATTAAAAATATCACCCCTAAGAGCTCTCCAGTTAGAGTATACTTTCCTTTATCATGTGTATTTAGGGTTATCAGTTCATAAATATACTAGCACATTATTAATAATCTATTTGTTCATTGCACTGAATTCTTCATGAAACTCTTAGTTGAAAATAATCACAGATTTAAGTCTAACTGTTCAGCAGTATTTAAACRAAATAATAAGGCTCTATTGGAGGTTATGCTGAAGTTTTCATACTTAATATATAAATACTGCACTCAAACTATATAAATCAATTCTGTATCAAGACATGTGCCAAGAAATATAGAAGAATAGCCAACTACTACTTCAATTTTCCTGGTAGAAATCCTACTTCATTAATGTGCCCAGCTGTCTTTCACTAAGACTTAACTATCATTTCTATACCACATAAATATATATAAATATATAAATATAATATAAATATGAATAGAGATTTTAATATCTTACACAAAAGACAGTATCCACCACAGTAGATGCAGCTTTCTATCAATCCTTGATTCATAAAATGAGGTAGGAAGCAGTAAGAAGCTCTGTGGCTTAATTTTGTCCCCCTTCCTCCCCCTCCTCAAACCCTGCAAAAAAATGGAGAGCCAGGTCAGTGTAATAGCTGCATTTTACCCAAGTATAGCTGAATAAAATAAATGCTGCCTAACTGCAGAAATTATATTCAATGCAAATGCATTTCCCCTGGCAGGCCTGGACATAGTTCCTTGATTTATAGTTATAAAAGTGCACACCTGGCTGTGGCCATTTGTTTGTTATCTGCCAAAGAACCCAGATAATGGCTTGTTTTTGGATTCCACTATAATGAAAACTGAAATTCATGCAGTTGAAGTAAGGTGTTAGGGGGAAAATATAGGTTTTTACAATGGGGACAGCATTAACTCTGTCTAGGTAGTTGCACAAAGACTTTAATGGGATCTGATCATGTTCTCCCAACTCTTTACGTTAAAAGGTAATTTCTGAAGTCACTAGAATCTTCTTTCAGTTTTAGAACATGGAGTAAATTCAGGTGGGGCACACTCTAGCTCAGTAAACTGTTTTCAGTGACGGCAGCACTGTCATCTGTGGTAAAAAGAAACTGTAAAAAGCTGAGAGAACATTTACATGCTACTTCCACTGCAGGGTATATGTTAATTCTGCTGGTCTTAAGCCTTTCCCAGCTTCATATGGTGTTCTTAAAATATGCCTTTTCTGGTACCACCTATATTACAAGAAAACAAACTTGGAAACGAATTCTACTGAATCCTGGAGTTAAGCAGTAAGAAATTCAAGACTATCAACTAGGTAGATAGACTGCATGAGACTCATCACTTAGTTACAGATTTTGCAATCTCTTTGCATGACATAAAGAAGAATATCTGCATTTTCAGTTTATTATTGAAGGACAGGCATTGTTTTCTTCCTGCCTCCAGGATTTTGAGCTATCCTCTTTTTCATTGCGTTAAGAGATGACAAGAYAGCAAGGTGTGCAAACTGAGGTGATATCCTTTCATGCATCAGCAAAAAGGAGAATGTACTTTCCATGGCTGGTAAATAAGAACTATTTCCCTTGCAATATAGGAAGAAAGCAACCTTGCAGAATCAAATCAAAATCAAAGACACATACATACAGATCTTCTGTATGTATATTTTTAGAAAATGTCATATGCACAAGAATAGTTTTCTTCTTACTATCTCATCTCATTTTTGGTTTATCAAGACTAGCAAAAATTGGAAAAAGCAATTTATTATCTAACAGTCTTTGCACATGCTTTTATTCATACTCTGCTCTCTTTCAAGATACTGAAATGCAAAGTTTTCCAGAACTTTTGCTGACAGTTAACAGCTTTTTCTAAGCATGCATCAAGCAGACTATATCGACACTATGGAATCCAAATCCAGGTGCTTCCTATATCCCCCAGTCTCCCTTTATGTCTTTTCTTAAAATATTCACTATAATTATGGTATTTCTATAATGCTACAAGCTGCTGCATTTTCACTGCATTTTACTAAACAACCATTTAGTAATATTCATTTTAATCTGCTCTGTAATATTTTATAAATCAACATCTTAATTCCAATAGGAAGCTGTGAATTCCCCACAAACAAGCATCACTTCTYTTCCCTGACTTGTATTTCTAGAGAAAAGAGGTCAAATATCTCACTAATAAATCTGGCATCAATTAATTTCTGAAGGGATGCTTCAGCTGTACAGAAGTTTCTTCCTTTTCTTCTTTTCTTCTTTTTTTTTCCAGTGGCTTTTCAATGCAAGACTGATCATTACTGCAGCTATGCATTCAAGATTTATTCTTTATTTTTGCCAATATAGCATAAATACAAGCTTAAAAAAGAAACAAAGCTTTAGCACCGCAATGCTAGGTCCAGTTGAGAAGGATGCCTGTTAGCTGAGCAAACCATGAGCCTACAGCACTGTCTGATTTATATACCACACCAACTTGATTTATGAAGAGAACCAGTGATATAGACTGTAAAGAAACAGTATTTAACTCAAAAATAGTAATGATTTTAGTGAAAATAAATATCACAGTGTTGCTCTTGCTATAGAAAAGMTATGGAAAAGTATTATTTGGAAAAGAACAAGCAAAGAAGCTGCAAGGGGTAAAATGATCAATTGGAAAAAATCTCCTTTCTTCTTGAGACATCTGCATATCCTCTGTATTAGGCAGCTAACAGGAAATACTCCTCACTTCACTTCATCAATGCTAAATCCATATTTTCTTTCCTCTTTAAGTGTTTACATCTATTGCACAACATTCTAAACCCCTCTGAGGCCGCTTGATGTATTCAATTCAAAAAATATTCTAGATGTTTTGTCACTTGTCATTCCCATTGCACAACTATAGCACATCTGCTTCTTCTGTTACTTAATCATGTTGGGACATTGAGTTACTTTTTCTGTTCTGACCCTGAGATCAGGTCCTTCGTGACTGATTGCATTACTGCATTTGACTTCATTGAGGTTCAAATTAATCCTTTGGATGTTTACCACCACACTACTGATCTTCAAGTCTTGTATAGCTGTCCTGACTGAGCTGTCTTCTTCTCTGCCACAGGTGTGCAGATAAGGGGAGAACAAGGACCCCCTGGTCCCCCAGGCCCTATTGGACCAAGAGGACAACCGGGTCCTGCAGGAAAACCTGGATTTGGAAGTCCAGGTCTGCAGGGTCCCCCTGGTCCCCCAGGACCTCCTGGATTCTCTGCTGTTGGAAAGCCCGGCATGCCAGGTTTACCAGGAAAGCCAGGAGACCGAGGATTACCTGGTGAGAAGGGAGATGCTGGACCAGTTGGGCTCCCAGGAGCAAGAGGGCCACAAGGACCCCCTGGCATTCCTGGCCCTGCAGGACTATCTGTTCCTGGCAAGCCTGGACCACAGGGCCCTCCAGGAGCTCAAGGGCCAAGGGGTCTTCCTGGTGAGAAGGGAGAGCCAGGTATTCCCGGTGCAAATGGACAAAAGGGAGAAACTGGATTTGGAGTTCCAGGCCGCCCAGGTAGCAGGGGGCTTCCAGGTCCACAGGGACCCCGAGGCCTCCCTGGTCCTGCTGGGATAGGGAAGCCTGGTGAGAATGGTCTTCCAGGTCAGCCAGGTTTGAAGGGCGACAGAGGTTTACCAGGTGCACCTGGAGCAGCTGGTATCCAAGGTCCCCAGGGTCCCCCTGGAGAACCTGGACAACCTGGTGTTGGCAAGCCTGGACCAATTGGACCACCAGGAGCAGCAGGTATGCCTGGACCCAAAGGACTCCCTGGAGCAGCAGGTTTACCCGGATCCCCAGGTCTGCCAGGATTTGGAAAGCCAGGATTGCCAGGGATGAAAGGACACAGAGGGCCTGAAGGTCTTCCTGGCATTCCAGGAGCAAAAGGAGACCAAGGCCCAGCAGGCGTGCCAGGTGAACCAGGGCCTGCCGGGCCACCAGGAAACATGGGCCCTCAAGGACTCAAAGGTTTACCTGGCGAACATGGCCTACCTGGACCCAAAGGYGACATGGGCCCTGTAGGCCCTGCAGGATTCCCTGGAGCAAAAGGTGAAAGAGGCTTGCCAGGCTTAGATGGAAAACCAGGATACCCAGGCGAACAGGGGGTTGCTGGTCCTAAGGGACACCCAGGTTTTCCTGGACCGAAAGGTGACATTGGCCATGCTGGGCTCCCTGGCTTGCCTGGTCCCATGGGCCCACAGGGAATGAAGGGTACACCAGGGATCAATGGCGAGCCAGGCCCCAGAGGACCTTCAGGAATACCTGGGACCAGAGGCCCCATTGGGCCCCCTGGCATGCCTGGAGCCCCTGGTGCAAAAGGTGAGCCAGGAGCTCCAGGATTGCCAGGTCCAGCAGGTATTTCTACCAAAGGCTTAACTGGACCCATGGGACCCCCTGGACCCCCTGGCCCTAAGGGTAACAATGGAGAGCCTGGCTTGCCAGGCCCACCAGGTCCTCCTGGTCCCCCTGGCCAAGCTGTCATCCCTGAAGGCTATGTGAAAGCAGGAGAGTCTCGAGAACTATCAGGAATGTCTTTTATGAAAGCAGGAGTAAACCAAGCCCTTACAGGGATGCCAGTATCTGCTTTCAGTGTCATCCTCTCAAAAGCTTACCCAGCAGCAACAGTCCCTATCAAATTTGATAAGATCTTATACAATAGGCAGCAACACTATGACCCCAGAACGGGAATCTTCACCTGCAGAATCCCTGGACTTTACTACTTCTCTTACCATGTACATGCAAAAGGAACAAATGTTTGGGTTGCGCTCTACAAAAATGGTTCCCCAGTCATGTATACTTATGATGAGTATAAGAAAGGATACCTTGACCAGGCTTCTGGCAGTGCTGTGATCGATCTCATGGAAAATGATCAAGTATGGCTCCAGCTGCCCAATTCAGAATCTAATGGTCTCTATTCTTCTGACTATGTCCACTCCTCTTTCTCAGGTTTCTTATTTGCTCATATCTAACAATTTGCCACTTAAGCAGCCCTGACACTCCTTCCTTTAGACCATTTAATTGGGTCCTGACTTGATAAGTTATTAGCAGGTCATGCAACTACAATTTGGCAACAGAAAAGAAAGGGAATGAGAAGGTGGAATAAACTGGTGCAAACCTAATAAAATAATATTTTATGTTTTTAGAAGATTGCCATAGAAATTTATTTCTGAAAGCTTTGTTTCAAATGATGTTTCAAATGATTGTCCAACTGAATGCAACATTAAAAGTTTATGAATTAATATGATGTACCTGTCTTTTTTTAAGAGAAAAATCAGTATTTCTAAATATCATTTCTTGGAATATGCAAAGTAGTCATTCCATGTCTCAACATGATACTTCACAATACCTGAATTAATGAAAGRTATTATTTAAAGTAAATAGTTTCAGATATAGAGTGCTCATCTCAATTCGCACAGAATATACTTCAGGAAGATTAGTCTGCTGTCAGCTTCATCTTTAAGCTATAAAATAGAGGTCAAGAAAACACAACTCTAATACAGCATATATCACATCAGAGTTTTTATTTTGTTCTACTTTTCTTATTATATAAAATCTATCTTAGTAAATTTAGAAATTATAGTCTTTTTGTGAAGAGCTAAGAATTTTACTATAGGAGAAAGCAATTAGATCTGAAGCTTAGAAATCCACTCAACTACTTTTTTAAGGCACATTTTGTAATCTCTAGCAAGACACTAATTCAGTATCTTAAACTCCTAATTAATATTCATCTAAACTACAATATTAGGAGTATAGTAAAACACACCCATYATTAAAAGCAGCAGAGCATATCTTCACAAATACTGACACTCACATTCACAGAGATATTCCTCCTAAAAACAACTGTTTTAATTACCCATGCAAACCTGGGAATATATTTTACTGAAATGTTGAATTCATCTGATGACAACAGTAATCACTCAGAACACATAATCATATTGGCCCTATATTCAAATATTAGATATTATATTAATCTGTATTACACTATGTACTATGTGTACATTTGTAACCTTAAATTTCTAAGCATTTGAAAAAATGTTGGGATTAATAACAACAGTCAGGGAACCACTAAGGTGATCCATCATTAGTGATACTATATAGTTTCAAAAAACTGTACTGAACTATGAACAAAGTACTTTTGCAGAACTGTTTTAGCTCTCTTTACTGAAGGCAAGGAAATTTGTAGGCTATTTAGGCTATGCTTTGTTAAAATAATAAATACGGAAGGAGAGAGTAACATTAGAACTGCTTATTTAGCCACCAAGTAGACTTAAGCAAGTGAAACTGGCAATTCTATTACAAATCATACAGACAAATGTTTGTACAGAAATAATACAGTGGACAGTAGCACAAGTTACAAGTAGCAATTCTCTTATACTTCCTTCTTTCGAGGCAAAATACAATCCAAGACACTTCAGTCTTGACATGTCACTCTTCACCTTTCCACTTTCTTGTTTTAAACAAAAACTAATTCCAGATCTGCTAAGAATTCTTTCTTTTTTTTCATTGTGCTAAAATGTTTCCCTATGCAGTCACTTGCATAAATTCACTAATTCATCATTCTAGTATTTAAACATAACACATGCTGCTGCCAATATGTTCAATTGATTTGGCACTTTTGTTTCAAAAACAAGAGACTGAGTACTGGAGATGGAAAAGACTGCTCAGTAGCTGTAAAGTTTTGCTTAACGTTTTGTATGTGAAATGCAGGCCAAAGCACACGTTTAAATTTCCTGAGGTGCCCAGCAGTATATTAATGTCCTGTGATTCTAATTAACTAGTCTTCTCACTGTATTCTTGAAAGTAAAGTTCAGTAATACTTGTCTTGCGTGCACTTTAAATGAAACCAGGTTTTGTCCTTTCATGTCTTTGCTCCTCCAGTGAGCAGGCATAGAGGCCTATAGATAAATCTACAAATTATTACTTGCGATCTGTCTTTTTGATGACTTTTCATAAGCATCCAGACATGAAGAAAGCAACCAAAAACATTGAAGATTTAGAAATTATACAGAAAAATTTGATACAAACATAGCTTATACCTTGATTTTAGCTTTGGATTCATAACCTAGAAGAAACTTTGAGAGGGTTTTTAAGGTTCTTAATCATCATGAGCAATTATAAACTATTATTTATCAGAAGATAAAAGAAAAGCTTCAAAGAAGTCGGTTCTGCTTATATGCTGTTGAAGCAGGAAGAGAAGATTGCCCATGTTGGGCTTTGGAAGACACAGATGCAATCAGGCAATAATATGGGTGACAGTTGTATGACCCAGAAAGAACAGTTAAAATCACAGTGCCCTTCAACTCTTCTTCCCAGGAGACTGAGGACTTTTGAAGCACTTTGTGTTTGTCTAATAGGTCTGCTTTTGTTTTTTTTATTTTTTAATGTCTTCTCCAGAAGAAGATGAGCAACCTATCTTATTAAAAGTTCTTTTCAAAAACCTCAACAGTTTTCAGAATCATGACGTTAAAGAAAAAAAAAATCCTATATGAGATTAAATGAGAGATTAAACAAAAACACAAGTAAGAGCACAAACACTAATGTCCAAAAGCCATAAATATTTTTTTGAATTTCAGTTGTTCTCAGATGGTTATCAGTGCATAAGATACTCAAATGATCTCTTCTCTATTTAGCTGAAAAGTCAAGGAAGAGAAGTCTAACAAATTTGCTTGCTCATATCTTTTCTGTCATTTTCAGGATTAATACAAATAAATAGTGGTCTCTTTTCTCCAAACTCTACCAATATTAGGAATTCCTAACATTCTACAGCATTTTAGAAAAATTATTTTCTTTCAGACAGAAATGTATCTCAGTTTTTTGTTCATTGTATTTAAAACTGCATAGAAAGCATAGAGATATCTCCGGCATCTAGATAAATTATGGTCTGTCAACACAACAGGGCAACCCTGCAAACCTGTAATAACAAAGTGTGTGTTTGTCTGTGAAAGCGCTTGGGGACAAGGTATTCCAGAAAAATCTGAAGTTCTCCCCCACCACCAAAAAGAAATCACATTTCACATGCATAGACATCGCATTTCAAGAGACCATTACATAAAACCAGACAGATAAAATGCAAATTATTAAAAAAGGTGTTATGACTAGCACTCCTCTTTTTTTTGAAAATAATGACAAATTTCTCAGATGCACCCTTGAAATCTGACAGCATATCCCTTCAAGCCTTCTCATGTGCAATTTATGAAGACTCTTTATTTCCAACATAAAATATAACCATATAATGCACTGAAAATATCATAAATGCAGTATATATAGGTGCAATTGCTGTATGTACCAGAAGTGTCAGGGAAATGATAGGGAAAGGCAATCATGTGATAGAGGAATTAGTTTTTAAGAGACATTCTATAAATGTATAAATTTTTGATTTAAGAAGTTTTAATAAGAATATTCTTTCTAAAAAAATACCTTTCTTTTTCTGTCAAAATCAAGAAATATTTTGATGTGGAAATGTTTCTTATTACTCTTTTTAAGATCAAATTTAATTTCCATAATGGATTGTGGCAGAGGCATAATTATACAGTGTAAACCATATTGCCACATGACATTTCCTTCAAAATTGCTCTTTACTAATTTATACACCGAGAAATAGAAAATATGCTAAATGAAATACACATGGAGAAATATTAACCACCTTAAAGCAGCAAAATATCCCAGTCTTAAGTGAAACTTGAGTTTTACAAAAAACATATTCTCACAAAATTGCTACCTGCAATTGATATAAAAGGTGAGCATCTGTTCTGCAGGTGTTGTTATGAGAATGTTCACGTTCACTACTACTCTGTCACTGTGCTTTCACTATTTTGACATCATGCTTTTATAAGAGGATTTTTAACAGATTTCCTCAGCTTGGGGGTCCTCCTTCACAAAGGAGGATTTGAGTACAACTGTTTAGGATCTTATATTCTTTCTATTTTATGTTTTTTCTGCAAGTCTCAGGTCTTCACTTCCTTATAACCAGAAGATGGGGTTAATCTCCTGCATTAACCTGAAAGTCAAGATGATCATGGCTTTCTGAAAAAGGCATTAAAAAAAAAAAACGGCCTATTATCTAAGGCAATTACCATGGCTAAGACAATGAAAAGCAAAACCCACCAGACACGTGACTAATGATCAAAGAAATCATGTGAAAAGGAGAAGGGACACAGAGAAACCAGGGCATACTGACAACAAACCAGAGCCAGAGTGACTTGCAAACACTTTATGGGTTTTAAAAAATAAAACTGCCAGTCGTTCTGCTCTGCAACTGACAATGGCACTACTGAGATAGCAGATCTGGGAACTTTACGTGTCCTCAATCAAGCGCCTAATATGTTTGCTTTACAAAATTTACCTTGAGCACCTGTGGGCGAGCCCTGTTTTTCTCTGAAGGGTTAAACCATCTGCAAGGCATTGAGGGCATGGAGCTAAGGCAAGAGGTTGTGGTTTCCAGGCCCATGCATGGAAAGACCATAGGATGTAAAACTGGGCTAGAGCCAGCTTTGAGAGGCCCCGCAGGAAGTCACATTAATCTGGCAGCTGAGGGGGGAAAGGAAAAACACATCACCAAGACCAAGCATAAACCTGCAGCAGAAGACTAGTATGATTTACACTCCATGGAGGAGAATCTGAAGCAAAAAGAGATGTTCCGTASGAATATCACAGGTACACAGCACAGGGGGAAAGCTCCAGCTCTTCTAAACTCCTGCAGTGCCTTATCCCTGGGACCAGGTTACTGAAGTAAAGGCCACTATGAAACATTTCAAAAAGATGACAGACAGACCTCAGCACTTTTATACATTAAAACTTTCAAGTACTGTGTGTAATCTGCATTGCCCTACAACTTCTGATTTTACAAAACCTATTCAAAATAGCTCATACCTACCAGTTACCACATTATCCAAAACTGCATTACTCTTGTGCATGTGCCAGATGTTTTTTGTAACAGAGATGAYGACAAACACCAGTCATGATTTGAAAAAAAAAAAAAAGAATTAATGTGAACTCTGAAGAAAAATGGTTACAGTTGATTAGAATTGATTTCTTTAATATCAGTCAAAAACATAAGATGTTTTTATCACATTCATGAATAAGTACCATACGTACTCTAACCTTCAATGGAGACAGAAAGACCAAAGCACTTGAGTATTCTAACATATTCTAACATATTCTAACATATACTAACATTTTTGGTGGGGGAAGGCTTCTTATCTTAAAAAAAAATCTTTTGGAATTTCTAGTAATTTGAATAGAAATTCAAAACAATAAAAAAAAATACAGTGTTCTCACCATTGCCTCAACTAATCACATAATGAGTACTGATCAAAACTAGAGTGCTAAAGGAAATGTATCAAATAGTAGTTACTTAAGGTTTTTCAATATGTTTTATTCATTAATACAATAATACAGGGAACATCATAGTTAAACAGTTCGAGGATGCCCATACTACAGTACCAATTACAGAATAAAATTATTTTTCCCATTGTATTCAGTGAAACAGCACAGCATAAGTGTTTTTAAGGATATGAAAACAACTGCAAATAAGCTATATATAGGATAAAGATTTTCTACTTCAGTGTAAACACGTCTACTATAAAACTGTAAGTTGGAAAAGCAAAAACTGCATTGAGTAAAATACAGCATACTTACGGATGTACTCGTCTCTGGCAAGCACATGAAATATTTTSAGCTATTATAATAAACTTTCACTGCTCCCACTTACCTTTAAAAGCTGATATTTTATAATTATGCTGGATCGCAGCCACCATGTCCTTCCAAAAGTCGTATTTTTTCTGCTTATCATGCTGTAAGAATCAATGGAACCTAGTCATTACATCAAGCATCAGTCATTTTTACCTTACATATGGAGACAATGATAAGAACACCATGAATAAATACGATTTTGTAAAAGGGTAAAACAGCCTTAGTCAGTGGGATTTAGGAGTTCAGGACTCAAAACCTGTCTTGGCTATGAGCTTTGAGTGATCACAGACAAGTTACCTTTCTTCTTCAGGAGAATATGGTGTGGGGAGGCAGAATGGAGGGTAAAGGCAAAAGGRTTAATATTTGCAACGAACTCTAAAACATTACAGCAAATAGAAGCATTAGATGGAACAGCAACTTATTGAATGAACCATTCGACTGATAATTGGGAAAAAGAAATTCCTGTGGCTGTATATTCTGTACTAAAATCTGGCATTCCTATCACCTTCCATTCTTTGAACTGACACAAACACTCACTAGAATTTAGTGGTCGTGTCCTTGTGCCAGCAACTCCACCCCAAGCATGATACAAAATATTCAGCCAGAGACCAGGCTGAGCAGCGCTGTGCTGCATTGTACTTTGAAGACTGCCAAACCTTAGCTCTGGCAGAATGACAGGGAAAAGCAATCTGTGCTCACAAACAGCCTCTTGCCATTCCTAGAAAGCCATCCGAAGAGCAGGGCGCAGAAACGCTCCACCTGACCTCAGCTGCCCTTGCGGGATCACACAAAGGGAGAGGAAAAGCTTCTGAATGAGCTGCATCCCACAGCGCTCTCAGACACTACCAACCTTAAGAGCACTGAATTAAATACGGATGCAGCAAGGCAACGAGACCCTGCTACAGAGTAGAGGGCTAATTATGCAGCTCCTAAGAGATACTCAGTCCTACAGGGCAGCAGTAAGCAGGCAGTATAGTCTGAACACCTCTAAGCTTGGACCCCATGGAAATTATTTTTATAGTCTTGTTACAGGCTTTCCACGCCCACCTAAGCAGGTATTTTGATGCAATTATCGACAGATTTCATGTCATTGCCCTCTGTGTTCTCAACCTGTCAGCCTGCTTCTGCACCACTACATGAAAAATGACCCTCTTTGTAAGCATCAGGTGCTGTCAAGAACCGCAAAAACCTAACAGGAACAAACCTAATGTTTCCAGCAAAAAACACGGTGTTTATAAGCGCTTAAGTAAATTGATATTTCAGGCTTAATCTGCCACTGTGTCCTCTGGACAAACAGTTTTGACTTGACAACCAGCAAGTTGTACTATCAAAGTATATAATTATTTCTTACGCTTATTATAATAATTTATATTAACTATTATTTCTAAAATAATAGAAACTGGGTGTAGGCCCACTCAGTCCACCACGAATCTGTCAGGGATTATCAAATGGGATTTCCTAGCTGAAGTAAGTATGAGACAAAGACTTTGTGTAGAGCTTCAGTGCAAAGTCCAAGTCACCAAGAAGCTCCTCTCCTTTCTCTGAAAGCAGGCAAGCATCTGGGACAGCCTAGGAACAGCTTTGCTTGTAACAGGCTAGAATGGCCCAGGGACCACCCCTCAACTAAACCCATACTGAAGCCCAAACCTGGAAGCTCTATTTCCAGTAAGAAACTTTCCTGATCCTAAAAATATCTTCTGGAAAGAGGATGAAAAAATAACTTTATTAAACACACTTCCATAACAAGGAGCAGAAGCATCCATTTTGTTTTAAAAATGAGGAAGAAAATGTGATGGTCTCTACCATCTCAGGAAAATAGCTTAACAATTGCAGCACATGTCCAGCGCACAAGTGCTGGAGAAGTTTAACCCACCATCTCTCATCTTGTGTCCTTAATCATCCCACTGATAGTAGCACTCCTGGGAATTATTTTAGCCCTCCTGTTGAAACTGGACCAACATGCAGTAAAATATTCCAGAATTGCTGCCTGATAAAGATGTATGACCCAACTCTACTAGCTCTTTAAAAAAGGAGGACATGAGCTTAATTCTCTCAGGCTGAAGACAGGGTCTGTTTTCTAGCTTCTGGCCTACTAACTGGATGTACATGACTGTTACACACATGCTATGACATGCCTTGGCATCACCCTCTACAAATAGCTGACTTGATATGAGACATTAAATATAGAATAAAATAATACGACAAAATTGTCACTTCTGAGAAATGGTTCTAAGCTGCAGACAGTAGGGGAGGGAGATTAATCAGCCACTAAAATCCCATTAAGCGTCTCATGACGCTCCTGTCCTCTAAGCCTCCCTATAAGCTACCTTCAGATAACTGCTCATGTAGCGTCTGTACTTGGACAGCAATCTACTCAGCTCATCTCCTTTGGGAGCGGAGCACCACAGGACTGCAGACACCTCCCTCACAGCTCTGAATTCCACTTTGTGGACACAGCTTAGAATCTACAATTTTTAATGGTGTGGTGGTGCTTTGGTATCTTTAGCCAGTAGCTTATAGCCAAAAGATTAGAGCAGTATTCTATTGCAGCGAGGATATTTCCTCTAATGGAAGAATACACAACTGAATCCAAGGATTCTAACTTCAAAAGTAAAACTTAGGACATAGTGTTTGTCTATATAACACTGAATAATGTCTATATAACACTGAATAAAGTTCAGGCAATTGCTCTTTGTTTTTTTTTTTGTTTGTCTTGTCCTGAGAATTGAACATGTTGCTTAGCAGAACAAGAGCAACAAAATCAGCTACTGTTCTAGAGGTTTATTTATATCAGATCAATATATTTAAGACAAAAACACTTTAAGGAGCTTTCAACTCATTCACCAGTCCTACAAATTAGCAAATCATGTTTTCTAGAAGAGTTATGCTAGACTTTATTTAAGTACTGTTAATTCAATTAAAAAAAGAATTTAAGAACAGTATTCTGCATATCAAAAACTAAACTTAAGCAAAACGTATTTACCTATTCTTATGCAAGTTATTTGTGCCCTCTGGTGGAAGTAAATATATTTTGAGTTTGTGTCTCACAATTAGCTTGGGAGATAATATTAATACATTATAAATCCAGGATGCAAAGTTCCAAAGCAGAAAAAAAGCAACAGACCTTAACTTTGTTGAATACACTATTTGCATGCATCTTATAATGAGGGAAAAGATAACAGAATATTTTGTTTAAAACAATCTTGTTCTTACCCGATCTAAGCTGTCCACAATCCTGGCACAAAGGAGTGCTCCTGGTAGGTCAAAATAATTATCATACAAATAGTACTTGGCTGGAAAAAAGAAGAAGGAAAAAAATCAGCTCCCCTCAAAACGCTTCCTCTAATTCATATTTCAAAGTTTAATTACAAATAATAACTATAGTAATAAAAATACTGTTATTATAAACTCCTATTTGGATTTACCAGTAACAAACACTGCCTGCTTCCTAATCTAATGAAAAATTTACTAGACTTTATTCACTCTTCGAGTTTCACTCAATTAATAACTGAAAGCTGTTAATCTATACATTAGCAAGGCAGTGAGATTTTTAAAATAATTATTATAGTTCTAAAAGTAGGGGAGACCAGGAGCATTTTAAGAGTTAGGGCAGCCACCATACAACTCTTCAAATATTTTTCCTAGCAGTAAATTTTGTGGGACTGACTTGGGGAATGTATCTTAATTTTACTTATTGCCAATTAACACAAACTTTTAATGGCTGATTCAGGTCTGAGTAACAAAGAAGACACAAGCAACGTCCCTTGCAGTGTCCTTGCAGGGTGGTAGCTGTCCTTACAACTTGTCCTTACGGGTGGCAGTTTTGGCAGGTGGTAGGTTGTTTTCAGACATTTACAATATAAAATCAAGCTCTGCCCTCCAACAACCTATGTACTCCAGTACTTCTCAGCTCAAATACTTTGAAATATTTGAAGCATTTGTAGTTAGAACAAACCCTAGCCAGGCAGCACTGAAATAGCCAGGGCAATTCTGAAGAACACAGCATACCAAGATGCACCTACCTGAGCGGGAAAGCATTCCACTGACTGCACCAAAATGCTTCCATTCTCTTCTTCCGTAAGTCTCCAGGATCTCTTCAGATGTCATGCGCTTCGTACCATGGCTTGCTCTGTTTCATGCAATTAAGAAGATATTAAAAAAAAAAAACCCTTTTCAGCAGCCAAACTACTTCTAATGCACAGTAATGTACTGAATACGAAGGTAGATACCTTTGAACTGATGTTCACCTCAGACGTAGCTCTAGTTACAACCGATAASTTTTCTAGGTCCTGAAGTTTTATCATATGCATTACAATCTTCCATAAATTAAAAGCATAGTACACAGAGGATAGACTATTTTGGGGCACCGCTACTGTGTTTCACTTGCTGACACAGTCATTCCATGCTATTTAATATTCTCAGTTGTGTGAGAACATTATAGTTGAATTATCTGTACAATAAAACACAGTGCAAAGAGTCTATCTGCCATTCTGAGGTATCACAATACTCACAGAGTGCAAGGCAGAATGAAGAAAAAGGCTCCTGTCAATAGCATTGGCAGCACTAACTCTAAGTCAGTGCTGCTACTCACAATCAACAATAAAAAAAATCCTGGATCCTTGCAGAACTGGGCAAAGAGTATATTGGTAGCCATTGAAAGAGTGAATTTAATTTCAAGATCTGTATGCAGTCAGAGTCTTTGGTAGAAACATAATACTAAATCTGTATTGAGCCACAGCATTAACTAATATATAATCTGATGAAAAAGCACAGTAAAAAACTCATCATATGCTTATTAAAAATAGATATTCCTCACTGGCAGCTAACACAGAGATGTTATGAAAAAACACTTAAGAAATATTAAAAGAAACTGGGCACTAGGTTATTAAAGAATATTTAAACTTTTATGTGCTAATTTCAGCACATTCATGTAAATATTTTTAAAAAATCAGAGATGGCTTTAAGAAAGAGTGTAAAACGTTGATCCTTGTTTAGCAATAAAAATATGTTGTCGATATTACCTCAAAACTGTTCCATCTTCTGCAAGTTTCAGGAAGTTTCCATCTTCAAGGTCAAACACCAAACCTTTACAACTGCATATAAATTAATTTAAAGGAAGAAACAGGATTAAAGGAATGCTTTCAGAGGAATGCTTCATTATATACCACAATAATGAAATGCAGTTACAGAAGCTATACAATGATGCTACACAAAAGCACCAAAATCACAACCCTTCAAACACTTCGATGTTTGAACAATGCTGTATATAGGCAAGTACATATTATTAAAATGAAGACAGGATTTCACTTACATAGCAAATTCCTACTAAATAAATCCTGTTCCACTCACTGTTGAGTTAGTTCAGCGTGACTAATCATATAGATAAGGTTGGAGGATCAAGGGTCAAACACATAAAACCAAGAAATGTGATATTTAAGTCACTTCAGTTAATAGTAATAGAAGTAATAGAATAGTAAAAGAAGCTAATAATAATTAATAAAAAACAACCTTTTTCTCTGTTACAAGTTTCCTTCTCTACTATTTGTCTGATAATATCAGTCACTAATGGAGAAAGAGGCAGAAGAGCAATCTCAGTGAGGCACTGAATGCCTAAGGAGCACGTGAAGTAGGAGCAAAGCTCTACCAGGCAGCACTAGCAAGGTGAAGCACAGGCACAAGGCACTGCAGATGTTCTGCTGAGTTTTCAGCTCCACTAGGAAATTTGTAGCTTACATCTACGTTTGCAAGGTACAAGTGAATTTATATTAGTTCAGGTTGTTTGAAAAACAAGTTAAATGTTCAATATCTAGAATAACAAAGACTAAACAAACAAACAAACAAAAGTAATGTCACCTTCATCCTCTATCACAAGAAACCCAAAAGAAAGTTGGGATGCCATGAAGACAGCAGGCAGACCTGAGCCTTTTGAGGATGAAGCTGATGAGAAGCCTGGAGAACAGCACTGAGGGAGCTGTCAGCACTCTGGGCCTGCAAGTCAATGCTAATAAACCCCCAGATCCAAAAAAGGACTGAAGTCTGTGTATCTTTTAGATGTTAATAACAAATTGTATGCCTCTGGATGAATACAGATACATTCCTTGTCACACGAAAGAGGAAAGTAGAACTGGCTGGAAAACGGTAAGCATTGAGTTGTGAAAAAAAAAAGGATCTTTTTTTTTTCTGCACATAACTCATTCATTTGTTCAAAAACATGTGTTTCTGCTACAAAAAAAATGGTAATAACCAGGCCTTCAAGAGCAGCCCTCGCCCCAGCTCCCCAAACCTAGACAATAGCCTGTTAAGGCTGGAATATCAAAAACCCATATTCACATTCTTGCTCAGAGACCACTCAGCTCAGACCAGGAACAGCTTTTCAGACCAGCTTTTCAGTTTTCTAGATTACAGCTTGGTGTCTAAATTGCCTAAGTTTCTCCCTGTCACGTCACTGGTCTTCAGAAGATTGTTGGGATTATTCTGCCTTACAGAAACAAAAAGACATCTATCAAGAGAAAAATGAAATATGACTAACTCCTGAGAGTTACTGGATTTACCAATTGAATTGAAGCTAGAACACATAAGAGATATATAAAACAGGAAATAAAGTCAGATTGAGAACTTTTCTTTCAAGAACTAGAAGCACAAGACAGAGCAAGCTTGGATATTCAGTTCTGTCTTGAAAATATCCAAGTTAGAAGTAGTTCATGACAAACACTTGTTCCAAAAAGTATTTAAACTCATAATTTAGAGATTTTATATTGGGCATCATTACCATAACACAGAATCACAGAATCATTAAGGTTGGCAGGGACCTCTAGAGATCATCTAGTCCAACTCTCCTGCACACCCAGAGCACGGGGCACAGGGCGGCATCCAGGTGGGTTTGGAAGATCTCCAGAGAAGGAGACTCCACAACCTCCTTGGGCAGCCTGTGCCAGGGCTCTGTCATCCTCACAGGKAAGTTCTTCCTCACATGGAGATGGAACTTCCTGTGTTTCAACATTTACCCACTATCACTGGCCACCACTGAGATGAGTTTGGCCCCATCCTCGTTAYATCCTCCCCTCAGGTACGTATACACACTGATCAGATCCCTTCTCAACCTTCTCTTCTCCAGGCTAAACAGGTTCAACTCACTTGGTCTTTCCTCATGTGAGAGATGCTCCAGCCCCTTTATCATTTTTGTTGCTCTCTGATGAAGACTGTCTAAAGATAAACAAGCTATTTTCTGAGCTTCCTACAAATTATAGAAAAAGGGAAGTTTGAAGACAGCCTTTGTTATTTTCAGTGTACTTACCAGAAGTCTARGCTCTCTGAAGTTAGATTCAGCAAGTCTTTGTCATAGCCCTTCTCCGTTACCAGATACTGAGCAAAACTATCATAGATTAGCTACAAATGAGAAAATACATAAGTTAATTATATTGATTGAATGGAATCAAAGATACTGCTTGCCTGAAAAGTGGAAAGGTGATAGTGCCTCTTTGGAGAAATCAAACCACAGAGTTAAGGAGCCTGCCACTTTGTGCACTCTGAATGCAAACTAATTCAGTGACTGATGTTATTTCTGTGCTAGCTGGAAAAGAGCTCAAGACACACAACAGTTCTGGTGCAATTTTTCTAGCTTAATCGAGTTTGCAGCCTTTTACCCCAGTTTTTCAGGACTGTTGTAAAACTGAAATGGTAACAGGTACTGGAGATGTGTGGTTACTTTCCTTCCTCCTTTTATTTCAATGTCACAGGTGGCATGAAGCAACAAGTTGTTTCCGAACCAACAAACAGCTACAGCTAGAGAGCATTTAAAAAGTACTCTTAAAGAACATGCTTTGAAGGAAGCAGACAACTCATGAATAAATTGTTGTTATTTCTAAATTCAGAAACAACCCTGTTAAAGTCTGGTACAGCAGTTGCTGCAATTGTGCAAGAGGGTCTATGCAGATGCTGCCAGGCCCTTAAGCAACTGAAAAATTATAATAAACAGCAATTGTTCCCCTTTCCTCATGTTTCTTTCAGTAAAGTCGTTCCCTGGCTTTTAAAGTTGCTCTTGGAATGAATATGAATTATGTGTGGGAAGGAGCAACATTAAAGCCAATACAGAAAAAGTAAGAACTAGTTGGATGCTCACCTGTTAGCATTTTTCAGGTTTTATTTCCAAAGGATAAGAAGGCATGGGATGTGCATGTGTCAGCCTACCTAGTGTGCTGTGAGAAGACAGGGAGTGAACCAAATTTAGTGCTTATTTCTTAAAAAAATAAGTATTTTCTGTTACCAATTGCCTAACGTCTSTCTTCTTCATCTGACAAATTCTCAGGAAGAATGTGTAAAGAAGTGATGTGTCGGTATCAGAAGGGACACGCAACGCTAAGCCAGAGTTACACAGTTTTCAGCAGGAACATAAGAGCACRTACACRGGAGCACAGCTTGTCCCCACGATTRATCCCTCTTTTGTAAGAAAGATGCCTCTCCGCAGGAAGTCCCAAGAACTGCTATGTAAAGCAACGCAGTTTTCCAAACGGGGACGCCCTGCACCCTATGGCAGCCCTGCAGTACAAGTGCGACACCTCAGGCAGGTGTTTCCGAGCCGCATCCTGCAGCACCTTGCAATGAATGCGTGACTGGAACCGGGTGCGGAACAAACGGGATCACGGGGGGCAGCGAAGGCGGGGAGGTGAGCGACGCCACGCATGGCGCAGGCCAGCTACACTGCGAAGAGAGAACTAGGAGTCAACGAAGGAATCAATGAATGGTTATCAAAAAGCTGTCAATGCGGCATGATAAATAAATAAATAAACAGGTAGAAYACCAGTTTCGAGTTTCACTTTCGGGGCCGCCCGCGCCCGGCGCCGCTCCCCGCAGGAAGGGCAGCCCCGCCAGGGCCGCTCCGCAGAGGCCGCCGGCTCCGGCCCCGCGCTCGCCCGGCAGC